CCACCAAACCCGCCCCAGACCCCTCCCCACTCACTGAGGTTGAGCGGCCCGTCCTCCTCGGGCGCCCACTTGGCCTCGGCGGGCAGCGGGCTCAGCGCCAGCTTGGCGCCCTTCTCCTCGGCCCCTTTGGGCGAGCCGGGCAGCGGCGCCGGCGCCTTGCGGAGCCCGGGCGAGCCGGGCCGGCCCAGGGCCTTGGCGAAACCCGGCGGAGACTTGATGGCCTTGTTGACGGCGCCCTCGGGCTTGGGCAGCAGCAGCAGCGGCGGCCGCGGCGCGCCCGGCTCCTTGGGCGAGCCCGCCGACTTCTTGGCCAGCGGCGGGCCCTCGGCCTTGGGCTTGTGGCGCACCAGCTCGTAGAGGAGGTCGATGGGAGCCCCCGAGCTCTCGGACTCGGCCACGCCGAGCTGGCGCAGGTGGGAGCGCGCGTGGCTGGACAGGCCCTTGCGGGTCTCGAAGCAGGCGCCGCACACCTCGCAGGTGGTCAGGCTGGGGGCTGGGAAATGGGGAGAAAACTGGGAAATTAGGGGTTAAAAATCACTTGGGATCAGCTCCTGAATTCCCAACCAACCCTGCCCCAGTTCAGGATGGTCAGGCTGGGGGCTGGAAAAAATGAGGAGAAAAATGGGAGATTAGGGGTTAAAAATCACTTGGGATCAGTTCCCAGACAGACACGGTTTTGGGATTGGAGAAGGCGCTGCACACCTCGCAGGTGGCCAGGCTGGGGGCTGGGAAATGGGGAGAAAAATGGGAGATTAGGGGTTAAAAATCACTTGGGATCAGTTCCTGAATTCCCACCCCACAGTCCTGGCTATGGGATTGGAGCAGGTACCTCGCAGATGGTCAGGCTGGGGGCTGGGAAAATGGGAAATTGAGGGTTAAAAATCACTTGGGATCCGTTCCTGAATTCCCACCCCACAGTCCTGGCTATGGGATTGGAGCAGGTACCTCGCAGATGGTCAGGCTGGGGGCTGGGAAAATGGGAAATTGAGGGTTAAAAATCACTTGGGATCCGTTCCTGAATTCCCACCCCACAGTCCTGGCTATGGGATTGGAGCAGGTACCTCGCAGATGGTCAGGCTGGGGGCTGGGAAAATGGGAAATTGAGGGTTAAAAATCACTTGGGATCCGTTCCTGAATTCCCACCCCACAGTCCTGGCTATGGGATTGGAGCAGGTACCTCGCAGATGGTCAGGCTGGGGGCTGGGAAAATGGGAAATTGAGGGTTAAAAATCACTTGGGATCCGTTCCTGAATTCCCACCCCACAGTCCTGGCTATGGGATTGGAGCAGGTACCTCGCAGATGGTCAGGCTGGGGGCTGGGAAATGGGGAGAAAAATGGGAGATTAGGGGATAAAAATCACTTGGGATCAGCTCCCAAAGGGACACGGTTATGGGATTGGAGCAGGCGCCGCACACCTCGCAGGGGGTCAGGCTGGGGGCTGGGAAAATGGGAGATTAGGGGATAAAAATCACTTGGGATCAGCTCCCAAAGGGACACGGTTATGGGATTGGAGCAGGCGCCGCACACCTCGCAGGTGGTCAGGCTGGGGGCTGGAAAAAATGGGAAAACTGAGATAAAATTCCAAGTCAGAAGGGGTAAAAATCCCTTGGGATCAGCTCCTGAGTTCCCCCACAATCCTGGTTCTGGGATTGGAGCAGGCACCACCTGGCACATGGTCAGGCTGGGGGCTGGAAATTGGGAAAAACAGGGAAAAACAGGGAAAAATCGGGATAAATCCCATCTCAGAGTGAGGGGAATGAGGAGGAAAACTTGGGAGCCAATCCCAAAGAATTCCAACCACTCCCACCCCAAGTTGTGGGATCACAGCAGGTGCTGCACCCCTGGCATGTGGCCAGGCTGGGGGCTGGAAAATGGGGAAAAATGTGGAAAAAAGGGAAAAAAATCAGGATAAATCCAATTTCAGAGTGAGAGGAATCAGGAGGAAAACTTGGGAACCAATCCTAAAGAATTCCAACCACTCCCCCCCCAAGTTGTGGGATCACAGCAGGTGCTGCACACCTCACAGGGGGTCAGGCTGGGAACAGGGAAAAATGGGGAAAAACAGGGAAAAAAGGGAAAAACCAGGATAAATCCAATTTCAGAGCGAGAGGAATCAGGAGGAAAACTTGGGAACCAATCCTAAAGAATTCCAACCACTCCCCCCCCAAGTTGTGGGATCACAGCAGGTGCTGCACACCTCACAGGGGGTCAGGCTGGGAACAGGGAAAAATGGGGAAAAACAGGGAAAAAAGGGAAAAACCAGGATAAATCCAATTTCAGACTGAGAGGAATCAGGAGGAAAACTTGGGAACCAATCCCAAAGAATTCCAACCAGTCCCAGCCAAGTTTTGGGATCACAGCAGGTGCTGCACACCTGGCACGTGGCCAGGCTGGGAACAGGGAAAAATGGGGAAAAACGTGGAAAAATGGGAAAAAACCAGGATAAATCAAATCTCAGAGTGAGGGGAATTGGAAAGAGCTTGGGAGCCAATCCCGAAGAATTCCAGCCCCTCCCAGCCAAGTTTTGGGATCACAGCAAGTGCTGCACACCTCACACATGGTCAGGCTGAGGGCTGGAAAATGGGGGAAAAACGGGTAAAAATGGAAAAAAACCCAGGATAAATCCAATCTCAGAGTGAGGGGAATGAGGAGGGACAGGAGGGGAACCCCTGGAGCTGATCCCAAAGAATTCCAATCCCTCCCAGCACAAGTTTTGGGATCACAGCAGGTGCTGCACACCTCACAAGGGGTCAGGCTGGGAGCTGAAAAATGGGGAAAAACGGGGAAAAACCAGGATAAATCAAATCACAGTGAGGGGAATGAGAAAGAGCTTGGGAGCCAATCCCAAAGAATTCCAGCCCCTCCCAGCCCCACCTCTGGACCCCAAGCAGGACAATCCCCCCTCGTTAACTCCCACATTAATTAACCCTACAACCCCCAGGGTGGGGTCTGAGGGCCCCGATCCCAGAAGAATTTGGGAAAATCCCGGGAAAATCCTGACCTTTGGAGTCCTGGGGCTCGGCTTTGCTGCCGGGGGGCTCCGGGCTCAGCTTGGTCCCGAGGCGGGGCGGGGGCGGCTCCAGCGCCGAGCTCCCGGATTTTTTGGGGATGGGGGGAGGGGACGTCACTTCCATGGCCACCAGCTCGTCCTCGTCAGGAGCCAGCACTGCAGGGAGCAGCTGGGAATCAGGGATTTGGGATTTGGGGTGTTCCAGAGGGGGTTTGGGGTGTTCTGGGGGGGATTTGGGGAGTTCCAGGTGGGATATGGGGTGTTCCAGAGGGGGGTTGGGGTGTTCCAGAGGGATTTGGGGTGTTCCAGAGACAGAGGGGGGTTGGGGTGTGGGATTTGGGGTGTTCCAGGGGGAATTTGAGGTGTTCCAGAGGGATTTGGAGTGTTCCAGGTGGGATTTGGGGTGTTCCAGGGAGGGTTTGGGGTGTCCCAGGGGGGATTTGGGGTGTTCCAGGTGGAATTTGAGGTGTTCCAGAGGGATTTGGAGTGTTCCAGGTGGGATTTGGGGTGTTCCAGGGAGGGTTTGGGGTGTTCCAGGGGGGATTTGGGGTGTTCCAGAGGGGATTTGGGGTGTTCCAGAGGGGGGTTGGGGTGTTCCGGGGGGGGTTGGGTGATCCAGGAGGGATTTGGGGAGTTCCAGGTGGGGTTTGGGGTTTTCCAGGTGGGATTTGGGGTGTTCCAGAGAGGATTTGGGTGATCCAGGAGGGATTTGGGGTGTTCCAGGAGGATTTGGGGTGTTCCAGAGGGGATTTGGGGTGTTCCAGGGGGGATTTGGGGTGTTCCAGAGGGGATTTGGGGTGTTCCAGGGGGGATTTGGGGTGTTCCAGGAGGATTTGGGGTGTTCCAGAGGGGATTTGGGGTGTTCCAGGGGGGATTTGGGGTGTTCCAGGAGGATTTGGGGTGTTCCAGAGGGGGGTTGGGGGGGGCGGGGGGGGGTTGGGTGATCCAGGAGGGATTTGGGGAGTTCCAGGTGGGGTTTGGGGTTTTCCAGGTGGGATTTGGGGTGTTCCAGAGAGGATTTGGGTGATCCAGGAGGGATTTGGGGTGTTCCAGGTGGGATTTGGGGACAGGGACAGATCCAGGTCCTCACTGGTGACAGGACAGGGCCGGTGGCAGGGGACAGGACAGGGACAGTGGCAGGTCCCTGCAGGGGACAGGACAGGGGTGGTGGCATCTCCCCACAGGGGACAGCACAGAGCCAGGTGCCCACAGAGAGGGGACAGGGACAGTGGCAGTGCCACCAGAGAGGTGACAGCTCCTGATGGTGACAGGACAGGGGAGGGGACATGTCCCTGAGGGGAGGGGACAGGGACAGTGGCAGCTCCTTAACAGGAGGGGACACAGAGAGGTGACAGATCCTAAAGGCGACAGGACAGTGAGAGGTGACAGATCCTAAAGGGGAGGGGACACAGAGGGGTGACAGATCCTAAAGGGGAGGGGACAGGAGGGGTGGTGACAGGTTCCTGCACAGGGTGGGACAGGAAAGGTGACAGATCCTAAAGGGAAGGTGACAGGGTGGTGGCATCGGGGAGGGGATGGGGGTTGTGACATCTCCCTTAGGGAGGGGACACAGAAGGTGACAAATCCCTGCAGGGGAGGGGACAGGGGTGGTGGCATCAGGGAGGGGACAGGACAGGGTGGTGGCATCTCCCCGCAGGGGATGGCACGGGGGTGGGGACAGGTCCCTGAGGGGAGGGGACACAGAAGGTGACAGGTCCCTGAGGAGAGGGGACAGGGGTGGTGGCATCAGGGAGGGGACAGGACAGGGTGGTGGCATCTCCCCGCAGGGGACTGCATGGGGTGGGGACAGGTCCCTGAGGGGAGGGGACACAGAAGGTGACAGGTCCCTGCAGGGGGCAGGACAGGGGTGGTGGCATGTCCCTGCAGGGAGGGGACACAGAGAGGTGACAGATCCCAGCAGGGACAGCACAGGGACAGTGACAGGTCCCTGCAGGGGGCAGGATGGGGTGGTGGCATCCCCCTGCAGAGAGGGAACACTGAGAGGTGACAGGTCCCTGCAGGGAGGGGACAGGGGTGTGACAGGTCCCTGCAGGGGACAGAGGTGTGACAGGTCCCTGCAGCAGCACTGGGGACATCCCTGAGCCCCTCAGTGACAGGGCTGGGGACACCCTGAGCCCCTCAGGGACAGGGCTGGGGACACCCTGAGCCCTTCGGTGACAGGGCTGGGGACATCCCTGAGCCTCTCAGTGACAGGGCTGGGGACATCCCAGTGACAGCGCTGGGGACATCCCGGTGACAGGGCTGGGGACATCCTGGGGCTCTCAGGGACATCCCGAGGCTCCTAGTGACAGGGCTGGGGACATCCCTGAGCCCCTCAGGGACAGGGCTGGGGACACCCCAGTGACAGGGCTGGGGACACCCTGGGAGCTGCTGATGACAGGGGTGGGGACATCCTAGGAGCACCACCCTGGGGACATCCTAGAGCTGCTGCTGACAGGGCTGGGGACACCCCGGGGCTCTTGGGGACATCCTGGGGCTCTCAGGGACATCCCGAGGCTCCTAGTGACAGGGCTGAGGACATCCCTGAGCCCCTCAGGGACAGGGCTGGGGACCCCCTGGGAGCTGCTGATGACAGGGCTGGGGACAGCCTAGGAGCACCAGCCTGGAGACATCCTAGAGCTCCTGGGGACAGGGCTGGGGACACCCTGGGAGCTGCTGATGACAGGGTTGGGGACATCCTGGGAGCACCACCCTGGGGACATCCTAGAGCTGCTGCTGACAGGGCTGGGGACACCCCGGGGCTCTTGGTGACATCCTGGGGCTCTCAGTGAAAGGGCTGGGGATGCCCCGGGTGTCTCGGTGGCAGGGCTGAGGACATCCCAGTGACAGGGCTGGGGACATCCTGGGAGCACCAGGCTGGGGACATCCTAGAGCTCCTGGTGACAGGGCTGGGGACATCCTGGGAGCTCCTGGTGACAGGGCTGGGGACACCCTGGGAGCACCAGGTTGGGGACATCCCTGAGCCCCTTGGTGACAGGGCTGGGGACATCCCAGAGCTCCTGGTGACAGGGCTGGGGACATCCTGGGGCTCCTGTGGACAGGGCTGGGGACATCCCTGAGCCCTTTGGTGACAGGGCTGGGGACATCCCGGAGCCTTTCAGTGACAGGGCTGGGGACATCCTGGGGCTGCTGGTGACACCCTGGTGACAAGGCTGGGGACATCCTGGGAGCACCAGGCTGGGGACATCCCTGAGCCCCTCAGTGACCGGGCTGGGGACATCCTGGGAGCACCTCGGTGACAGGGCTGGGGACATCCTGGGAGCACCAGGCTGGGGACATCCCTGAGCCCCTTGGTGACAGGGCTGGGGACATCCCAGGAGCTCCGGGCTGGGGACACCCTGGGGCTGCTGGTGACAGGGCTGGGGACATCCTGGGAGCACCTCGGTGACAGGGCTGGGGACACCCCCCGGACCGGCCTGGTGACACCCCGGGGCTCTCGGGGCTCGGCCCGGCCGCACCGGGCCCCCCCCGCCTCCCCCGGGCCGGAGCCCCGAACCGACCCGACCCGACCCGGGCTGCCCGACCCGACCCGGGCTGCCCGACCCGACGCGGCCCCCCCGGCACGGAGGCCCCGAGCAGCCCCGAGCAGCCCCTTTAATGGGAATTTGGGGATTTTTTGGGGAGGTGTGGGGTAAAAAAGGGGAATTTCGGGGATTTTTTGGGGGGGAATTGAGCAATTTAGGGGGGAATTTGGGGGGTAAAAGGGGAATTTTGGGAATTGTGGGAGGAAATTGGGGGATTCTGTGGGAAAACTGGGGAATTTTGGGTGGGAAAAGGGGGTAAGCGAGAATCTGGGGGGAAAGGGGGAATTATTTAGGGAAAAGGGGGAATTTGGGAGGAAATAATGGGAATTTGGGGGGTTTGAGGGGGAAAAAAGGGGATTTTGGGGGCGAAATTGGGGGATTTTGAGGAAAAAGGGGAATTTCTGGGGGAAAATTTGGGGGTTTTGGGGCGAAAGGGGGAAATTTGGGGGGAATTTTGGGAATTCAGGGGGAAAAGGGGGAATTTGGGAATGGGAATTGGAGATATCCCAGATTTCGTGGATTTGGGGATTGAAATATCCCGGATTTTGTGGATTTGGAACCAAAATATCCTGGATTTCCAACGGCAAATCCCCAAAATCCCAAACCGTGGATCCAGAGGTGCTCCTCCTTCAGCCCCCAAATCCCAAATTCATCCCAAAACCTCCCAAAACCACCCAAAAAATCCCCAAAATCCAAAGCCCTGCAGACACCGAGCTCCTCCTCCAGCCCCAAATCCCAAATTTATCCTAAAACCCCAAAATCACCAAATTTATCCCAAAAAAATCCCCAAAATCCGACGGCAAAAACTCATCCCAAAACCCAAACCCCAAATGGATCCCAAAACACCCAAATTTATCCCAAAAAATCCCCAAAATCCGACGCCAAAAACTCATCCCAAAACCCAAATGGATCCCAAAATCACTGAAATTTATCCCAAAACATCCCAAAAATCCAAAGCCCTGCGGACACCAAGCTCCTCCTCTTGTCCCAAATCCCTAATGAATCCCAAAAAATCCCAAAATCGCCGAATTTCTCCCATTTTTGGGGTCTCTCTCCATCCCTGTAGGGCTGCAGCAACTCGACCCCCCAGGGCGTGGGAATGGCGCCAATTTCGGCAGGTCCCAAAACCCAACCCCCAAATGGATCCCAAAACCACCCAAATTCAGCCCAAAAAATCCCCAAAGTCCGACACCAAAAACTTATCCCGACGCCCAAACCCCAAATGGATCCCAAAATCACTGAAATTTATCCCAAAAACTCCCCAAAATCCAAAGCCCTGCGGACCCCAAGCTCCTCCTCTTGTCCCAAATCCCTAATGAATCCCAAAAAATCCCAAAATCGCCGACTTTCTCCCATTTTTGGGATCTCTCTCCATCCCTGTAGGGCTGCAGTAACTCGACCCCCCAGGGCGTGGGAATGGCGCCAATTTCGGCAGGTCCCAAAACCCAACCCCCAAATGGATCCCAAAACCACAAAAATTCATCCCAAAAAATCCCCAATGTCCGGCACCAAAAACTCATCTCAAAACCCCCAAAATTGCCCCAAATTCCCAATTTTTGGGGTCGCTCACCGTCCCTGTAGGGCTGCAGCACCTCGGCCCCCCAGGGCGTGGGAACGGCGCCGATTTCGGCAGATCCCAAAAACCCAAACCCCAAATGGATCCCAAAACCACACAAATTCATACCAAAAAATCCCCAAAGTCCGACACCAAAACCTTATCCCGACACCCAAACCCCAAATGGATCCCAAAACCACCCAAATTCATCCCAAAAAATCCCCAAAGTCAAAACTCATCTCAAAAACCAAAAACTCATCTCAAAACCCCCAAAACTGCCCCAAATTCCCGATTTTTGGCCATTTTTGGGGTCTCTCTCCGTCCCTGTAGGGCTGCAGCACCTCGTCCCCCCAGAGTAGCAGGAACGGCACCGATCCCAAAAACCCAACCCCCAAATGGATCCCAAAACCACCAAAATTTATCCCAAAAAATCCCCAAAGTCCGACACTAAAAACTCATCTCAAAACCCCCAAAATTGCCCCAAATTCCCAATTTCTCCCCGTTTTTGGGGTCCCTGTAGGGCTGCAGCACCTCGTCCCCCCAGGGCGGCGTGAACGGCGCCGATTTCGGCAGATCCCAAAAGCAGCAAAATTTATCCCAAAAAATCTCCAAAATCTGACACCAAAAACTCATCCCGAAACCCAACCCCAAACGGATCCCAATCCTGCCCCAAATTCCCGATTTTTGGCCATTTTTGGGGTCGCTCACCGTCCCTGTAGGGCTGCAGCACCTCGTCCCCCCAGGGCGGCGCGAACGGCGCCGATTTCGGCAGATCCCAAAACCCAAACCCCAAATGGATCCCAAAACCACCCAAATTCATCCCAAAAAATCCCCAAAGTCCGACTCCAAAAACTCATCTCAAAACCCCCAAAACTGCCCCAAATTCCCGATTTTTGGCCATTTTTGGGGTCGCTCACCGTCCCTGTAGGGCTGCAGCACCTCGTCCCCCCAGGGCGGCGCGAACGGCGCAGATTTCGGCAGGTCCCGGTGGAGATCCTGGTGGAAATCTTGATGGAAATCCTGATGGAAATCCTGATGGAAATCCTGATGAAGATCCTGATGGAGATCTTGGTGGAGATCTTGATGGAGATCCTGGTGGAGATCCCGCTGGAGATCCCGCTGCAGCTCCGGGTGGTCGCGGTGCAGCTCGCGGTGCAGCTCGCGGTGCAGCTCGCGGCCCGGCGAGGGCCCCATGGCGCGCAGCAGCGCCGGGTGCTCGGGGGCGGTGGCCAGCAGCTCCTTGAGGATGTGGATGGGGGACACGGTGAGCTCCCAGTTGGTGATGCCGAAGTCGCGCAGGTGGGCGCGGGCGTGGCTCGACAGCCCCGCCCGCGTGTCGAAACCCGCGCCGCAGAACTCGCAGCGCATCAGGCTGAACGTGCCCGGGTCGAAGTTGGCCACTGCAAGGGAGGAGAGGTGCTCAGGGGTGGGATTGGGGCCACCAGAAACCACTAGGAACACAAAAAAACCCAAAAGGAACCCAAAAAACCCAAAAGGAATCCAAAAAACCCCACCCAGAAACTCCAAAAAACCACCAAGCTCCAGCCCATCAGGCTGAACGTGCCCGGGTCGAAGTTGGCCACTGCAAGGGAGGAGAGGTGGTCAGGGGAGGGATTGGGGCCACCAGAAACCAACAGGAACACAAAAATCCCCAAAAAACCCAAAAGGAACCCAAAAAACCCAAAAGGAATCCAAAAAACCCAAAAGGAATCCAAAAAACCCCACCCAGAAACTCCAAAAAACCACCAAGCTCCAGCCCATCAGGCTGAACGTGCCCGGGTCGAAGTTGGCCACTGAAAGGGAGGAGAGGTGGTCAGGGGAGGGACCGGGGCCACCAGAAACCACTAGGGGAACCCAAAAATCCCAAAAATCCCAAAAGAAACCCAAAAGGAACCCAAAAAACCCAAAAGGAATCCAAAAAACCCCACCCAGAAACACCAAAAAACCACCAAGCTCCAGCCCATCAGGCTGAACGTGCCCGGGTCGAAAATTGCCCCAAATTCCCGATTTTTGGCCATTTTTGGGGTCGCTCACCGTCCCTGTAGGGCTGCAGCACCTCGTCCCCCCAGGGCGGCGCGAACGGCGCCGATTTCGGCAGATCCCAAAACCCAAACCCCAAATGGATCCCAAAACCACCCAAATTCATCCCAAAAAATCCCCAAAGTCCGACTCCAAAAACTCATCTCAAAACCCCCAAAACTGCCCCAAATTCCCGATTTTTGGCCATTTTTGGGGTCGCTCACCGTCCCTGTAGGGCTGCAGCACCTCGTCCCCCCAGGGCGGCGCGAACGGCGCAGATTTCGGCAGGTCCCGGTGGAGATCCTGGTGGAAATCTTGATGGAAATCCTGATGGAAATCCTGATGGAAATCCTGATGGAAATCCTGATGGAAATCCTGATGGAAATCCTGATGAAGATCCTGATGGAGATCTTGGTGGAGATCTTGATGGAGATCCTGGTGGAGATCCCGCTGGAGATCCCGCTGCAGCTCCGGGTGGTCGCGGTGCAGCTCGCGGTGCAGGTCGCGGTGCAGCTCGCGGCCCGGCGAGGGCCCCATGGCGCGCAGCAGCGCCGGGTGCTCGGGGGCGGTGGCCAGCAGCTCCTTGAGGATGTGGATGGGGGACACGGTGAGCTCCCAGTTGGTGATGCCGAAGTCGCGCAGGTGGGCGCGGGCGTGGCTCGACAGCCCCGCCCGCGTGTCGAAACCCGCGCCGCAGAACTCGCAGCGCATCAGGCTGAACGTGCCCGGGTCGAAGTTGGCCACTGCAAGGGAGGAGAGGTGCTCAGGGGTGGGATTGGGGCCACCAGAAACCACTAGGAACACAAAAAAACCCAAAAGGAACCCAAAAAACCCAAAAGGAATCCAAAAAACCCAAAAGGAATCCAAAAAACCCCACCCAGAAACTCCAAAAAACCACCAAGCTCCAGCCCATCAGGCTGAACGTGCCCGGGTCGAAGTTGGCCACTGAAAGGGAGGAGAGGTGGTCAGGGGAGGGACCGGGGCCACCAGAAACCACTAGGGGAACCCAAAAATCCCAAAAATCCCAAAAGAAACCCAAAAGGAACCCAAAAAACCCAAGGCGCCCACCCGTGCCGCAGCTCCTCCGGCCCCGCGGGGCGGCCGCGCGGGTCGTCCCCGTCCCCCTCGGGCTGCTGCGTGGCCGCTCTCTTCCTCAGCTGCTGCAGCGCCGAGTGGGAGTAGGCTTTGGACGGGGAGAACGCGGCAAACCCCAAGCTTTGGTGGGAATACGGCGCCGCCTTCCTGGCGTGGTGGAAGCCCTGCGGCGGCTCCTTCTTGGCGGCCCCGTCGCCCTTGTCCGGCCTGGGGGGGCCCAAGCCGAAGGCGGGGTCGTAGAGGGAGGGACCCTCCCGGCACGGGGGCGGGAAGAGCCGCTCCGAGAAGCCCTTGTCGCCCTTGCCCAGCAGCTCGGCGTCGGCGAAGCGGGCGGGCCGGCCGGGGCTGTAGGAGTCGCGGCTGGTGCCGGGCTGGTTGGGATCGTCCTCGAAGGTCTCGGGCTGCCAGGAGAAGTGGGAGTGGGCGTATCTCAGGTGCTCCTTGAGGATGTGCTCGTTGGGCGCCGGGAAGCCGCAGAGGACGCAGGCGCTCGGCGCTTTGCCGGCCGGCGCCGCCGGCAGCTCGTCGGCTTGGAAGGGTTTGTAGAGGCCGCGCCCGGCGCCGTCGCGGAGCTCTCCGAAGAGGCCGGAGCTCCTGGAGGCGTGCTCCTTCCTCTCCTTGACGTGCATCTTGGCGTGCTGCACGAAGATCTTGGAGGAGTTGGTGCCGAAAACGCATTTGGGGCACTGCAGCCGCGCCTCGCGCCCCTCGTCCGGGAACTCGTTCAGCTTCTGGATCTCCTCGATGATCTTCTCCCGCGACTCCTGGTGGAGCCTCTTGTGCCGCTCCAGCGCCGCCGGCTCGGCGAAGGCCCAGCCGCACTCGCCGCAGCGGAAGCGGCAGCGGCCGTAAAAACCCAAAAGAAAACAAAAAAAAATCCTAAAAAAAACAAAAGGAACCCAAAAAACCCCACCCAGAAACACCAAAAAAACCCCTCCAAAATCCACCCCATAAGGCTGAACGTGCCTGGGTTGAAGTTGGCCACTGGCAAGAGGGACAAGTGGTCAGGGGAGGGACCAGGGCCACCAAAAATGTACCAGGGTCCCAAAAAACCCCACCCAAAAACTCCAAAAAACCCCCAAGATCCACCTCAGGTCACATGTCCAGGATGGTGTGCAGCCACCAGGGCCACCAAGACCCCAGGTCAGATGTCCAGGGGGGTTTGTAGCCACCAGGGCCACCAAAACCTGCGGTCACATGTCCAGGTGGGTTGGTAGCCACCAGGGCCACCAAGAGTTCAGGTCAGATGTCCAGGATGATTTGCAGCCACCAGGGCCACCAAATCCTCTGGTCACGTGTCCAGGTGGGTTGGCAGCCACCAGGGCCACCAAAACCTGCGGTCACATGTCCAGGTGGGTTGGTAGCCACCGGGGCCACCAAGAGCTCAGGTCACATGTCCAGGTGGGTTTGTAGCCACCAGGGCCACCAAAACCTCTGGTCACATGTCCAAGGGGGGTTTGTAACCACCAGGGCCACCAAAACCCCAGGTCAGATGTCCAAGGGGGGTTTGTAGCCACCAGGGCCACCAAGATCTCCGAGCCCGTAGCCCCCAACCCCCAGCGCCCACCCCGCAGACCCCGGAGGCCGGGCGGGAGCAGAAGACCTCCCCGCGGGAGCCGGGAGAAGCAGGAATTTGGTACAAACTACCTTTTTTCTTCTTCTTCTGGAAGGAGAACTTCTGCTCGATGGCCTTGACCTCCTCGGCCGAGATGAAGTGCCGCACGTTGTAGCTGACGCCGACGCGGTTCAGGTGGCCGCGCACGTGGTTGGCCAGGCCGATGCCGTTGTGGAAGCGGTCGGGGCAGTAGGGACATTTCCTCTCCTCGTTCTTCAGCATGGTGGCCTCCGGGTCCAGCAGCTCCTCGAGCTCCAGGGGACCCTCCAGGGGCGCGTCCAGCAGGAGAACGTCCAGGGGAAGGGGCTCCTCCAGCAGGAACTCCCGCGGTGGGAGAAGCTTCCTCTTGAGGGGCTTCCCCCGCGGCCTCTTGGCGGCCCTGGGGTGGGCGCTCATCTCCTCCAGGACCACCACGGGCACCGTCATCCTCAGCTGCTGCCGCTGCTCCTCCGAGGCCACCGCCGGGTCCGCGGCCCTCAGGGCGGCCCCGAAGGTCCTCTTGAGCTCCAGCGCGGCCCGAGGGACGGCGACGGCGGCCCGGCCGTCCCCCGGCTCCGTCTCCTCCTCGGCGCCGGCCGGCGCCCACCCGTGCCGC